CCCTATCTGGGGGATTGGGACCCTGGCCTCTGAGCCTATTCAAAATCTCAAACATCCGGAAGCTCCCTTCCCCTGTCAATTATCCCCCAGGGATGCATCACTCCTCAGAAATGACACCATCTACTTATTAGTTTACTTTTACTGTCTGTCTTCTCACAGCCGTAAACTAGAGGATCAGCTCCGCTAGAGTAATTTCTGTCTGTTTAGGTCACAGCTGTATCCTGAGGACCCTGGAACAGTGACTGACACAGAGTAGATGCTCAAAAAGTGCTTCTGGCAGAAATTAATGAAGTCAGGGGGCCGAGGACCTAGGACCAATCTCTACCAGAGTGAGTCCCTGGGGCTCATGAGCAACCCGACAAGGTGGCCCAGGGACACTGGCATCGGCAGGAAGCTGACCTACCTAGATGGGGCTGTGGAGGGAACAGGGCCACCAAGAGGCTTAGGCTGGCCTTCTTCTGCTTCCACCTGGGCTCTGGGCCAGCAAGGAGGGGGAAAGACCTGGCCCAGGAACCATATGGACTCACAGCAGGGCCTACGATGGCCCTGGGCCCAAGGGAAGTGAAGCTAGATAGGAGGTTGAAGATGAGGCTGGGCCTGGATGCGAGGAGAAAAGTGGGTCATCTGTTACCTTGAAATCAGGTGTTACTCCAGCGGTCCCCACACCCTGTCTCTGCCTGCCTGACCTCACTACCCTCAGGAGGGGTAGAGGGGCCAGCCTAGTAGAAAGACTGCAGTGAAGAGGATGAGTTCCATCCAGAGAACCCAGGATACCAACAAAATCCTGGCCCAGGAGGCTCAACACTGGACCTGAGACTGAGGCAGGTGAAGTATGGCCAGCTCCAAAGACGGTCTTGTGTCTGCATGGCACAGATCTGCAGTCCATCTGTCTGTTGTCATAGGGAATAGAAGAGCTGGGCGGGTGGGGGTGGGGGATTATAAGTAGGGCTGGATGGACAATGAGGAGGGAGCTAGAGGAGCTACGGGTGCATGACCTCTAACTGGAAACTCCAAGGGCTGAACAGGTTCAAGTTCAGTTTTGTGGGGAATTTAGGAAAAAGGGGTACAAAATCTTTGTATCATGCAACACCCCCAGTAGGGGGGCCCTAGTGGGCCCCTGTAAGCAGAGACACTTGAAGATATTAACTTGAATGCTCTCATAATACCCGAGGACACTTACCTCCTCACACTACACCGAGCCACTGAGGACACAGGCGTCACACTCTACTAAGTCCCATAGGATCATACCATCCTCACCCTGTCCGGACTCCCATAAGCACACACTGGGCCCTCAATGTCCTCCTTTTCTCAGTATATACTGAACCTTCTAGAAGGTCCCTCTGCATTTTAACTGCTATCAGCACCTGCAATTTCCCTTTATCTCTAACTGCCGCCAGCTCACAAAGCCCCAACAGAGCACAGGACCTTCAAAGTTAACGCCTACCACATTCTTGGGTCCCTCCCAGGCCCAGCTGCCTGTTAGCTTCTCCACAGCACTCACCCCATTAACACACTGTTCCCCCTACATGATTCTGACCCCTATTAACATACACTTGGGACCCTCTACAGCTGACCCACATTAGCATTCACTGGATTTTCATACTGGCCTAAATCCCATGAACACAAAGTGAACCTTGCAGACCCCTGACCTGTTTTCGTCCAAGCTCAGACCCTTGGCAGATATGACTATCATTACCACATATTCTGGTCCTCCCGCTAGCCTTTCTCTGCCACCTCCCATCGGCACAAGCTAGACCTTCAGTTCACCCTGACCTCTATTAGAACATATTGGGCCTCACATAGTGCCTCCCAGCCCTATCTTCAGGGACAAGCACAGTGTTATAACCCTGGACTGTTCCTCAGCCCTATCTCCAGGGGCAAGCACACTGTTATATCCCTGAACCCTTCCCCAGCCCTATCTCCAGGGGCAAACACAGTTACATAATGGCCTGACCCTCATTAATGCACACAGGTCTTCATTCAGCCGGATGCCCCCCTCCCCCTTAGCACACATTTCAGCCATCCATGGCTCTATCCACTTTAGCACACCTAGACCTTCACATATTCCTGTTCCTTATTTCTCTTTGCTTCAAGTCCTCCACAGCTAGAAGCTGGGCTGATTCACACTTGGATCCCCTCACAGCCCTGATTATCCTCCTTGCACACTAGAAACCCTCCACAGCTCTACCCCTCATTAGCGCTCCCTGGAACCTCAACACATCCCAGTCTTCCATGGACACAAGAGCATACTGTCTTCACAATGTTCTAACTCTCATTAGCATATTCCAGATCTCATCCAGCTCTGACTCTCCCCCGACTGGCACACATTTAAGGGCCTCCAAGGCTCTAAAGCCACATTAGCAGTGCCTCTAACTTCATCTATCACCCTACCTCTTCTTAGCGCACCCTAGTCTTGCATCCCCGGCCCTCATGGGCACACACTGATCTCACACCATCTTGATCCTGAATACACTGAACCTCTCACAGTGCTAACACACTTCCCTCATCCACAACTGACAGCCATTATTGGCACAGGCTCAGGTCTTCCACCCCTCTGCCCCCCTAAGCACAGACTGGGCCTCATGCTACCCAGACTTTTATTACCACAGGCACATACCCTCTGCAGCTATGACCCCCATTAGCGAGGCTCAACACTCTAGTCCTTCCACTACGCTGTCCTCCATGAGCACATTTTGGCACCTCACACGCTGCAGTCCTCATGGACAAATACACCGTATTAACACCGTCCTGACCCTCACCACACAGGGCCGCAAACCCTGATCCTATTAGCACACCTGGTACCTCTACCCCCTTATCCCCCGTTAACACAGAGGGCCCTTCTACAGCTAGGACCCAATTTGCATATGTCAGCACTTCTCTGACGTCCACTCGCCTATTATACACGTTTGGGTCCCTCCACCCTCCTGCACCCCCCGCCCCCACTAGCACACACTGGACACCATGCCTTACACACCTCCGATCCCTGCAAAACTCAGGCCCCCCTTAGCCAACCTCGACTCTCTCACCACTCTGCCACCCATTTCTACACTCTCTCGTCCTTCGATCACCCCCCTCCCCATTAGCAACTTCCCACCCGCAGCTCCCAGACTGGGCCCAGGGCGGGGCCAAGGTCAGGGAGGCCCTGAATGACCCCCTGTCCCGGTGCATTCTGGGCAATTCGCTGCGGGGTGGAGGCCCATGCGGCGAGTGTAGCCCAGACCCCCGGGCACCGCCGGGGGTCTGGGTGGGTTCTGTAGAAGAAAGGGCAGCCCCCACCCCACGTCTCGGTGGCGCGCTCACCGGCGGGGGCGCGCGAGCAACCTCAGCGCCGCGGGGCCGGCGCGAGGCGCCTGGGGCGGCGGCCCGCGCTGAGGCCGCGCGACCTCCTTCTCCTCCTCCGGTTCGCCGCAGGCCCCGTCCCAAGTAGTCTTCGGCCATGGCTGCTGGGCCCGG